TACACACACACACACACACACACACACACACACACACACACACACACATTTTTTCCTGATTATTTCTATCTGTTTTGCAGTTTTTCTCAAGCTCACCTCAAGAATTAGTACTGCAAAGAAAATCTGATGCGGCCTCTGCAGACTGTCCCAAGCAGATTAATTTCCCAGCTGTATTGTCCCCGGAAGCCTCCGGCCTCGTTGCAAACCAAGATTTGCCTGACAATGGCTCGTCCAAGTTCAAGTAAGTCATCCTTAGTCTGCCATCGCCTCTTTTCCAGCAGAATGAACATTCCTTACATGTCGAGGGGAATGTCTGTGTTGAAGCAGGTGCTGGGGAAGACTTTGGAGAAAGTCAGTCTGTCCTCTTCTCTTTTAGGCAGGTACCCTCTAGGCAGGGTCAGAGCTTAGCTCTTAATAATCAGATTCATTTAGGGCATTTTGTTGCTTCTCCGAGAATATTTGCATTTAAGCTTTTCACACATGATTTGTGTTTTAAACCCCTCACCTCTCTGTGGGGGAGGAGAGCTGGTAATTGTCCTGTAGGGCAATATGGGGTTAAATTTTCTACTGGACAGGAGTGATTTGTATCTTTGCCCGACAGAAATCTACAAGGTAACATATCTGGGCCCTTAGTCTGTAGTGAGTATAGAGCCTAACAAAATTTTCTAATTTCATGATCCTTAGGAGGGCCTGTTAGATAGTGCTTCAATGTGGCACTGAAAGTCTGAGCTGAATTTCTTGCCTTGTTTTCAACTTTGGGATAACTTTTCCTAATACTGTGAGTCTGCTCAGGCATATTAACTCCTTCCATTTTGCCCAACCTCAGGAATGGAAAAGAACCAAAAGAACCCACTTCCACTCATCTGCCCAGCCTCTTGGTGTTCACAGCTGGGCAGAGCAGGCTGCTAGAGTCCGTGGTGGGATGCAGAAGTGTTTGTCTGACCTTGGCTAAAAGTGGGCCATCATGTTGGGAACCGCAAAACACACTGGCGTGTTTTCCTTTAGCAGTTGGGAAATGTCTTTTTTTTTTTTTTAAGATTTCATGCTAGATTTACATTATTATATTTTTCATACTGTTTTTCAAGGAACAAACCTATGTGGGCTTTTTATTTGTTTTTAGAAATTGCTTAAAGTGGTACCCTATTAGAAGTCACTCTTACCTAGGAATATATTTGTCAGTAGGATGATGGTTTCCATTTGGGGTAGAAAAGACCTTAAGGTCTAGGGAAAGTTTTAGGAGTGAACTTTGAAGTTCTTAGGGATATTTATAGAGATTGAACCCAGGATTCATACAAACAGTTCCTAGAAAAGTACTTGTACATTTTCTTATTGAGCACCTTGTTCTTCCAGGAGATTAGATCAGATTAGAAAATCTAATCCACCCAGATTGGGTTTCTTTTTCTGAATTCTTCCTGCCTAGTAAGGTTTAGTTTCCATGTGGGCTTCATTTTTCACACCAGCCTGTCTCTGGAGGGGATGCGAGTGTAGGCGGAGCTTTAGCGTGACTGGCAGCGTAGTTGGGTTGGTTATACCCAAACAGAGCAGCGCTTCTGAACCATCTAAATTTCTTTAAAGCCTTATGCTGCAGGAATGTGGTCCTGGAGAGCTCCAGGAAGGTAGCCCAAGAGGGAGCCAACCTCTCTGCTTCTTTGTTCTGAGAGTCCACCATTACTCTTCGTTCATTTGTACCAGTCATCCTCTGTAGGGCAGAGGGCTTTGACGTGGAGGACGGGTCGAGCCTTTGCTGGGATTCCCTATCCTGGGCCAGGCATAGTCTATGACTCCGGGCTCAGGCGGCTGAGGAAGTGCCATCCCTGCCTAGAGGGAGCCATCTCGGCCTTACCAGCTTTGGTACAAAATGAGTCATGTTCACTTTGATAGTCAAGTTAACCGTCTAAGCCCCCATCACACCATCCTTCTTTCTTGCCTTCTTATCACCTGTTCCCCTCATTCAGTCCAAGGGTTAACCTTGGTTGCCATTATGTCGAGGGGGAGGACAGGAAGCCTGCTCAGTCAGCTGAGGAATTCATTTCCACCCTGGCTGAAATCCCCAGTGCTGTAACACAGGTTGGCCACTCCTGGCAGATCTCCGTGTTGCGGCATCCCCTGCTTCTGTGGCTAGGCCTGCCACAGGTGATGCTGGTCCTACACTCGCTTCTCCGGGGGGACAGCAGAGCAAGGAGTCTCTCTTCTCTTGGTAGCTTATGCTCTGCTCTGTGTCCGCAGGGCCACTGCACTTACCTACTCTGGGGAAGTGCCTGGGGAAGAAGGGAGTTGGCCTCAGCCACATGCTGTGCCCTGGCACGTGTCCCTTCGCCAGTCTCTGCCACCCAAGCAAAACAAAGGCAGCTCCCCCATCGTCAGGTCCAAGTCAGGTTCCTGATCCTTGTCCTGGGATAAGGACATTTGTTTCAGGGAAAAACCCCACCTTGTGACCGATGGAAGGTGCTTGGCTGGAGCCTGGGGTGCAGTGAGCCTCGCTCACCACAGCCGCTGCCCCTCGGTCTGAGGTCAGGCGGGGGGATAACCTGGGGGTGCAGGACAGGAGGGCGAGCCAGAGTCTGTGGCCGCGATGCCCCGCTGTCGTTACTCCCTGCATTCCCTTCCCTTCTGCCACCCCATGTCTCTGGCAATGTCTTGCTGAAAAGTTTGACTCTTGAGCTGAAAAGAAGGTCACGTGTCCACATTTGGGGCAGAGCGTTTGCTCACAGGGGAGGAGCCCTTGTCCTCACCCTTGGTCCTGTGCTGAGGGAAGCTGGAATTAGTGAGATCCCCAAAGGGAAGGCGAATTTGGGGAGTTACTTGGGGATTTAGAGTCCAGTGGACCTCAGCTCAGCCTTCACACAAACACACAGCTTGTTCTTACTTTTATGAAGGAAGATGGGTTCCTATCCATTGGCCTTTTAAAAATCTTCTTAACAGCCTACTCTAAGGAAGACACTATTGTACACACCAAACAGTCAAGGAGGTGGGATAGAAGAAGGTAAGTAATTTGTGTAAGACCAAATAGTCGATGGGAGGCAGAGCAGAGACTCAGAGCCAGGTGCCCAAAGCCCCTGCTTCTGTAAGGTTCTGTACAGTCACAGGCCAGATGCATGAAATGTTGTCTTCATGGTACAGAAATGACTTTTATTTGAGTATCATAAAGTATAATTTCATGCAAGGTCAAGTTTCAAAATATAAACAATTGATATGGGGTATAAATATCTAAGTGGTACAATCAATTGATAAAGATTTTATTCTCTGTTTAGATATGGCAGATTTTCGGAATTTTTTTGCAAAAGCCAAGCATATAGTCATCATTTCAGGAGCTGGTGTTAGTGCAGAAAGTGGGGTGCCGACTTTCAGAGGAGCTGGAGGCTATTGGAGAAAATGGCAAGCTCAGGTTAGTAATGTTTCTGTAATATTGAAAAGTTTTTCTGAAAGAAGCCAAACTCCAAGAGTTTGACTTTGAACATATACTGATGCCTGAAACCCGGAAGGAAAGTTTCAAAGTTAACTATCACCCTATTGTCCTGTTGATTTTGGCATCAACCCAAAGTCCTTATGGTTAAGGTTTAAAATTTAATCATAGCAGCCACTTTTCCTTGCATTCTGGATCAGTATAGATTGCATTTATTCAAATAAGAAATAGAATAAAATGTACACATGTACCTTGTGTGTACAGTTGGGTGAGTTTTGACAGGTGTACACATCTGCATAACACCAGCACCTCTGCAATCAAGATGTGGGACATTTTAGACATGGCTAAAAGTTCCCTTGTGCCCTTTCCTGTCAGCTTCCAACCCCAGACAGCCACCACTCTGCTCTTCCACCATAGATGAGAGGAACCATAGCTGAAAATATGTTTTTTGTATACTTTGTTAATACGATATATATACTTTTAAAATATGTGTAGTTGTGTATGTGTAGTTGAGTATGTATATGTGTAGTTATACGTATGTGTGTATATAGTTATAGTTATAAAAACTGAGTGTCTCAACTACAGCTATTATACCTCAGTTGGGCATTTTACATTTCATGTTTTTCTTGGGTATATCTCAAAATGAGACTGACTTTATATATTTTGGGGTTCCATGTAAGAGTAGATTCAACCCAAAATACCTTCCCGCATATTACGTCATGTTCTTAACTCACTAGAGGGGTAAATGGGGCAAGTTGTGTTATCCCTGCCTTATCATTGGGGAAGTTAGGCCTGGTTTCTCCAAGGTCCCAGGTTAGTTTCAGGATGGCGACATATAGCCCCTGCCAGTATGTGCTGCACTTCCTGCATCTACAGCAGACGGGCTCCAGCCTGCACCCCTATTGCTGCGGGCCTCTGTCTCAGAAAGGAAGGGCCTGACGGTCGCCACAGGGATCAGCGCCCCGGCTGCCTGTTTCCTTCCCTCACGCCTGCCTCCTCCATCCCTCCCCCAGGACCTGGCCACTCCTCAGGCCTTTGCCCGCAACCCATCCCGGGTGTGGGAGTTCTACCACTACCGGCGGGAGGTCATGCGGAGCAAGGAGCCCAACCGCGGGCACCTTGCCATTGCCGAATGTGAGGCCCGGCTGGGTACACAGGGCCGACAGGTCGTGGTCATCACCCAGAACATTGACGAGCTGCACCGCAGGGCTGGCACCAAGAACCTTCTGGAAATCCATGGTGAGACTTCCAAACACATGTCCTGCCATTTCATCATGACCCCTGGCCCCTTCCCTTCTTCCCTCCCTGCTGGCCACCTGTTCCATCCCCCAGGAAGCTGTGGCATTTCACTCAGGGACACATCAGTGCCCTGTGGCACTTGATGGGTGGACCAACCTGCCCACTAGCATTTTCCTCTTGTTATTTCCTACATCCTGCTGCTCAGAGCGTGGTCTGAAAACCAGCAGCATTGGCAGCCCCTGGGAGCTTGTTAGAAATGCAGAATCTCAGCTGTTACCTGGACCCACTGAGTCAGAGCCTGCGTTTTCCCAGGAGCCCCAGGTGTCAGGTTACACAGTTTGCTGGAGCAGCACTGGTCTGCACGGCCGGCCGCATGAGCCCCTCCTCAGGGGCTTCCGTGGAGGGTTGTTGTGCTATGTGACAACTGCCCAGGTTGGCCGGAGGGAAGCCATAGGCCTGGGCTATTGGACAAGTGGGTCTGTGGCAGCATCAGGCATGGGAAAGCCTGCAGCAAGCCGACCAAGTCTGTGACGTCATGGGGTTTGTCTGGGGTCCCTCTGCCTTCGCTACTCTGTCCTGGATGACACCCTCCCTTTCTCTTCTGTCCTCTCACTCTGCTCCCCATGTTGCTGTCACCAAAAATCTTATCCATTCATCCACACAAGAGCATAATGGGCATACAAGGATTTCTCCCCAAAGGCATCTGCATTTAATGAGTACAAAGCTTCAAACCCAAGGAATGCATTTCTGAATGTGGAGCTTCCAGAGGCAGTGCATGGGTGGGGATGTTGTGGGTTTTTTGCGTGTGTACAGTGAAGCTGCCTGTTTTTGCCTAGGCTTAAGGTCACCTTGATAAGAAAAGTTGGATGCTGTTCACTTAGATCCCTTCTCGTTTATGTCCAAGGAACAGCCAGCCACTTATTAACTGCTTGTCATTTTGGCACCTACTTCTGCTGGGTCTGGGATGTGACTCTCCCCGTTTCTCTGCAGTTTCAGAATGTGGGCCATGTGTAAAATAGAGATGATCCTCATTAGTATCATGGTAAAAAAAAAATAAAAAGGAGATGATCTCTATTTTACTGAGTTGTTTTAAGGATTAAATAAGATCATATGTGCATACTAGTAAGGATTATTTTGGTTGCAAATGATGAGAACTCTTTTAACTTAGGTAAAAACAGAAGAAACCCCTTCATTTCATTAAACTAAAGATGCCATCAATTTTAAGATGCACTGTGTTTTTAAGTGACACTTAGAAAGAACATAATCTGCCTAAACCATGATATACTATTTTATTATCCCTTAGAATTGTTATTTTATACTGTAGGACAGGCCTGATAAAGCCTATTCAGACATAGATCTTCAGAAATTATTTCATTCCTGTGCATACATAAAGTATGAGTGAAATAAACTGGTGGGGATATGTCTCACTGTCTGGCAGGGATTGATGAGATAGCGTTTCCTAAGAGAATGCTGCTCTTTTATCTCTGGGGTTCTCATCCAGGGTCCTCGTCCAAGCTGCAACACACGTTCTGCAAGTCCGATATTGATCTTACCTCTCTTGGTCTTACCCAAAGGTCTGAGTAGAAGGGTTGTAGACAACAACCAGGACTCATTTTCCTTCCTCAAATGGCCCTGAAGTGGTTTGTCAGCTGAAATATCCAGGGGTTGTGTTTGTCTGTTCAGGCCACCAAGAGTAACAAACAAGTCGGCACACTTTTCAGTAACCACGGTTGTCCTTCCACAAGTCTGTGCAAGCATGACAACTGTGTCACGTTGTCACCTGGCTGGTAATGATTGTGGGACACATCTGAATTTCAGAGATGTTAATGTGGTAAAAGATGTCGATAGTAGAACTGACAAAATCGGTGTGTTGGCTCACAAAACTGCAGAGCCCTGGGGTGGCACTGGTGTCACCAGCATCTCCCTTTCTTTCCTTCCTGGCCCCTCTCCTTCTCCCAGCTTTGTTTACTCTTTGAGTTAAGCTCACTTTTCCCTCTGCACTTGACCTGCTGCCATGTGCCAGGAGGGGTAGCCCCTGGTGGCTCCAGGCTCACTCTAGTTTAGTGGTCTCCTCAGAAGATAATCCTCCAGGGGGCCTCGCTTGGCTCACGTCCCCACCCTTATGACCAGACACAACCGCTGGAGGGACGGGTGCTTTGATTGGACCAGTTGGGGACATGTGGCTGAGCTTGCATTTGGGATGTGATTGACAGCTCCATCAGCTCAGCCTGGGATAGAGGAAAGATGGTTCCCCAAGAAGGAAGAGTGGACAAATGAAAGTGTGTGTGTCACCTATGGTGATTAGAGAGGGCAGCACAGCCCTGGGCGCACGGTAACTATTTCAGAAATTGTGGCCATTGAGATTGCTTTAGCTCAATAGATAGTTGCTAGTTTTAACTGTTATTTTTTCATTTATTAGTTGATTACTTACTTATTGAGCTGTTTTTGTATAAAAGATTCAAGCTTTATTAAATCAAAGTTTTGTAAACATATCCCAAGGCCATTGATCCTTATCAATCTTATACGTAGTAAGTCATGCCCTTAGCTTTGGTCAAGTTTAATCTACCTGTTGACCACTTTAGTCCCAGCTGAACATCACTCCAAGGTCATCTGAGAGCATGGTAGCCCTGTAGTTAGTTATTTCCCCTCCAGACGATCAAGTCCTTGAGGGCGTGTGCTCCTGGCTCATTCAGAAGTACTTCATGCCTTTACGTTTCCCATAATACCTAGGGAAGGCCTATTTGCATAAATGAATGTATGAACACCAAATTATTTTGTACCCATTTAGACATGGAGATGATTGCTCTGGATTATACTAAATTCTGGACTCCCTTCATCTGTTTTTCAGGTAGCTTATTCAAAACTCGATGTACCTCTTGTGGAGTTGTGGCTGAGAATTACAAGAGTCCAATTTGTCCAGCTTTATCAGGAAAAGGGTAATTATACTGCACTACAGAATAAGTATATGTTGTTTTCTCCTCTAAGTTGAACAGAAATGTGAGGAAATTGAACATTAATCAAAGATTCCCATGGATATTTATGAGAAGGAAAATTAGACACAGTACAGCCACATGACAAAAGAAATATTTTGCTAACAATTTACAGTGTTAAGTGAAAACCATAAGATACCAAACTATGTGCAATATGATCCCAATTTTGTATTTAAATACTCCCCCCCCATGTTTATATATCTATATATAGTTTAAAAGACCAGAAAAAAAATATGTTTCCAGTGATTATCAGGACTGGGAGGTTATGGGTAACTTTTATTTTTTCTTTATGTCTTTCTGAATTTTCCAACATTTCTTTGATGAACATGTGCTATTATTTTAATAGAAAAAAGTAAGAGTAGACTCAGAATACTGAGAAAAGTTCTACTGGGCCATTTTAAAATAGTATAAATTATATAAGCCATATAATGGGTCTTAGTTCATGGGAAAATTTGTATGATCTTTCAATTCTAGTTTTCCATGAACTTTTTGAAGTGCCCTTGTATATTAATATAATGTCATTGCAGAAGATCTGAATGATGATGAAGTATAAAGGCAAATTACAAAGATCCCTCTTAGCACACCTGGCCACGCCAGCCCCTTCCCACACAGAAATCCCGTCTCTTGTGGTACAACCACTGGTAATTAATTGCTTGGGGTCCTTCATTCTAGTACCTTTCCAAGTTAGCATGTATTCATTAGGAGTTTTATACCACATACTACCAGACAAATATACAAATTTACTGGATTATGTTAGTCCTTGTTTTTGATTATACCAATGACATCCTTTCTTTTCTGATATTATTTACTTCAGTGCTCCAGAACCTGAAACACAAGATGCCAGAATCCCAGTCGAGAAACTTCCTCGGTGAGTAAAAAACTTTGATTTTATTTGGTGTTCTAGATTACAAAAAAGGAAAATTAGGAATCAAAATCTAAATGATTATTTGGTGAGATGCCTCTTAAATGCACAAATGTTAAAACCAGCCTTGACCTATGAGGCCAAAGGCTAAAGGACAAAGGATGAACAAAGCAGGGTAAAGAGATTGTTTCTTTCTAATCTCTTTTTGCTTCATGTTATTGGTGGGATAATCTGAGGTCTGGAAAGTTTCTGAAGCTGTTATGTGACAGATGGTTATCCAGTGTCGATGGAGACTGGCATCATGTAACTAGTCCACAAATGTCATAAGTATTATTAATCCAGGGTTAGGGTCTAGGTGAAATTACAGGACCAAACAGAATTTTTGTAGATTAAAAAAAAAACTAGAGAGATTTTCATATCAATTTTTCAAAACCATTCATTAAAACAACACTTCCAAAAGCGTTTCATGGAACACTAATTCCATGCAATGTCGATAGGCATTACTTGAAAAAAAAGATGTTATGTGCTCAAATAAATATGGAAACATTAGGTTAAACAAAATTAAAATATGTTTGCTTGCTGCAAGACTTCTCAGGGCATTTAATCTGCTTAAGTACATTGTTACTTTCTAAAAAGTGGTAATAATATGTTAATACTTCACTGGCTATTTAACCACAGAACTCTTTTTATTTTTTTAATAAGGATTTTTGTTTCTGAATTCTAAAGTTTTAATCTGAAAGAGTAGGGCATCACGGGGGATTCCTATGATATAAGAGATTAATAGGAGAAAAATGGTGCTTGGGGAGATGATTTTAGAAGGTTACATAAGATAATGTACAGCTGGGAGAAAGTGAAAGATGAGAGATTTTTGGTAATGGACACTGGAAAAGGTGGCCACAGACAGGGCCAGAAAGAGGTGAATCCGAGAGAAAATGGAAGGGGGTCATTGATGAAATTAGAGGACGGTTGGGGTGTTAGAGAGCGTTGCGCTTAGCTGAAACAGTATGTCATTACATCAACCTTGTGTACATGGCCAAGATGAAAACTTAATAGGACAGTTCAGCTTAGTATATCCTATCCAGTACAACTTTATATGGGCCAGGAGAGAGAGAGAGGGCATAGAGCATGAGAGGGATCAGAGGTGACCCATGTGGATGGCCTGGGTTTGGGGCAGCCCCTCCCTCCCTCTGACCCACCTGGGCAGACCTTGTGACAGGTCTGGGCTCAGGGCTGGGTTAAGGACCACATTCCTTCAGGTGTGAAGAGGCAGGATGCGGGGGCTTGCTGCGACCTCACGTTGTGTGGTTTGGAGAAAACCTGGATCCTGCCATTCTGGAGGAGGTTGACAGAGAGCTCACCCTCTGTGACTTATGTCTAGTGGTATGTCACACCCTTCCTTATCCTTGGGATTTTTTTAAAACATGGGAGACTGGGATGGATTTTGTTGTTGTTTTCTGACTTCCTTCTTTCCTTCCTCCCACCCTCCCTCCCTCCCTCCCTTCTTTCCTTCCTTCTCTTGAGAAATATGTATTGAGAGGTCTTGTGGTATTCTACGGAAAAACTAAGAAACAGTGAATAAGAACCCATCCTAAAATATGAAGCTATGCAAGACCACATCTTGGGCATCTCAAAGCCTGCCCCCTCTCCCAAAATGAAAAGAACATGTTATTGGTTCAGATTTTTTAAATAACTTAAAAATGATTTTTTAAAATAACATGCTCATTATTAAATTTAATTAAGAAGATACAAAAAAGCATAAAGTTATAAAGAAGAAACTAGAAATCATTCATAATCCCACTATCCAGAAATAGTCACTGTTGACATTTTGGTATGTTTTCTCCTAGACCAGGGGGAGCAAACTGCAGCCTGTGGGCCACATCTGCCTGCACCCTGTTTTTGTAAATAAAGTTTTATTGGAACACAGCCATGCCCATTCTTCTGCACCCTGTCTGTGGCTGCTTTCACACTACTTGTGACAGTATCGCCTGCAAAACGTGAAAAATTTACTGTATGGCCCTTTTCAGAAAAAGTTTGCCCACCTCTGGTCTAGACTTTTTCTTATTCAGATGTACACATATTGATTAAAATTCAAAAATGAGTTCATGATTTATGTTCCTTTTTGAAACTACTTCATTCAATTATAGAATATGCAATTCACTTAGCATATTCTATGTCAGTATCTCCAAATCTACATCATCTTTCAGTTGACTGCATGGAGTTCTATTATATGGCTATAAAATGATACATTTGGCTAATCCTCTTTGCTACACACTTGGCTGTTTCATATTTTTATATTTTAAATAGCGCTCTGGTGAATATCCTCAGATGTAAACTTTAGCATTTGAAGGAAACACCCCGCCCAAGCGCAAAACAAGACACAGCAGGAGACAGGGACGCAACCCAAGTGTAACTTCAGCCCGTTTTCCCGATTGCTCGTAAAAGTTATCTGAGTCCCGTAGAATGTCGGGGTTGAGGGACCCAAAGGGAGGCCACCTGTTTTGATTGTCTAAATTACAGCTGGGCCGTTCTTGGGTGGAAAACCTAACAAGTTTGTTTGGCTTAATATCCGGAGTCAGACCCAAAGTGTGAAGATTCGTCGGGAGACATTTTAGAAGGGGGTCCCGGGAGAGACGAGGCACCCCCATGAGAATGGGGGAGGAAGTGCCGGACGAAGGGGCGTCCCCGCTTCGGTTGGGGTGCTGAGAGGTCTCAGACCACCGGAGGCCATCGTCACCAGTTTCTGGCGGTTGAGGGACCCTGCAGGGTCGTCGAGCTTTGGGGCGGCCGGCGGTGGGACTCGCGAATGCCTGTTGGCAGAAACGCGAACCCCATGGCCAGCGAGAGGGGGTGGGAACGGGAGCCTCCGCTCGCCTCGGCCGAGTCCCGGAGACAGAGGGACGGGAAACCCGACGGAAACTCACCGACTGGGAGGCCATGGTGGATGCGCTGGCGGCCATCGATCGGGAAAAAGGGCCGGGCTGAGCATCGTCACAGGTGGAGGCTTGGGGCCCTCGGTGGAGAGACGGACGGGGTCCCACGGTGATGGGGAAGCCCAGTTCCAGTCACGGCCCCGAGTCGCCGAGAGACAGCCAGCGGCCAGCACGTCCTGGCGGCCTCAGCCGCGTGCAGAGCGCGGGAGCGCCTTATAGAGCCTAATCGCTGGAGCGGGCTCACGGTCATTGGACGAGGGGACCAAGCGACACTGTAAGCTGAGCTGGGACTTTCCTACAGGTGGGGAAAATCACGCGCACCTGCGGGAAGGTGACGTGGCGGTGGGGGGGGCGGGGGTCTTTTGTGGTTCTCGGCAAATGGGAAACTTCCCGCAGCCATTTCGGGCGTCCTTCCTGGCCACCTGCCGCCGTCTTAGACTGACGTTGGTCATAACCTAATCGGCTAACGAGCCTGCTCTTCAGGTTATTTCCTTAGGGCACGTTTCCTAGAAGTGGAATTAATTGCAGAAGGTATATGCATGTTTCAAAATATCCTTAACACGTCTTTAAAAGCGAGGTCCTTTGCTGTGGGTGTGTATTCGCTCAGCCGGGGTTTAGTGATTATGTCCCCGCGTCCAGGATGACATCGGTATTCGTGGTGGATTAAGAGAGAAAAGCTGGTTTACAAAACACGTCTGGTCTTTCCATTCCTGTAAAGGATGTGTTTATAAATATCTATTTATAAGAAAAAGTCTGAAAAGATACACATCAAAACGTTAACAGCGGTTATCTTCGGGTAGTGGGATGATGGATGACACGTGTGGTTTTTATTTGTATTTTTTAACTTAAAGGACACGGATCATTTGTTGGTTCGGTCTTTTTTTGCTGCTCCCTCTGTCTGTGTCACTCACCTTTTCATGTCACACGTTCTTCCCAAATCCCAGTGACTGGCCAGAGGTCGCCTCCTAACTTGCCACTCGTCCCTTGGGCACTCTCCATTTTGTCCCACTTGCTTGAGCTTTCCTCACATCCGCAGCCACAGACCTGCCTGGGTTTGTCACGGTTTTCTGAAAAAGTGTTTCTTCCTCCCAAGGTGTGATCATTTGTCCATTTCCATGTGTTTGCTTTACAGGTGGGAACTTCCTCTGTGGTCTACCCGGCCGCCATGTTTGCCCCCCAGGTGGCTGCCAGGGGGGTGCCGGTGGCCGAATTTAACATGGAGACCACCCCAGCCACGAACAGATTCAGGTACAGGGATGACCAAGGTGGGAGATGGGAGGTATAGGACAGGTTTGGTCATGGTCATCTAAACAGATTTTACCTGTTGTAGTAATATCTAAAAATAGACTCAGAGTTTGTGTTTCCTTGTTTGGTCTGTAACTGCTTTTATGGAAGAACGAGGTGCAATTTACTGTGGACTAAGAGGGCTGTGTCTTTTTACCCGGGGCTTGCCGTAGGGCTTTGGTTTTGTCACATTTTGGAGGCCCTTTTTTGATACTTTATTTTTTAAAATTTATTTATTTATTTATTTTGGTGCTGGCCCATACAGAATCCAAACCCTTGACCTTGGTGTCATAAGGCCATGCTCTAACCAACTGAGCTAACTGGCCAGGCCTCCTGTTTTGATCCTTAGACTTTGCTTTTCATGTGTATTTTTTCTTTTGGTGGCTGGTCAGTACAGGGATCCAAACCCTTGACCTTGGTGTTATCAGCACCACTCTCTAACCAACTGAGCTAACCCCTTCATGTGTATTTTTAGACTAGATTTAGTAATGGCCTTTAGTTGTAGGTTACAGAGTGCTCAGGGAGCCTGGGCAATGCCCGTATAGTACTGTATCACCCACTGTTCTCATTGGGAGGCCATCTGGGAAAATCCCTCTTTGTCTAATTGCCAAGAATACTTGTATTCGTGGCCATATTATGACACCGATCCTGATTCCCAAGTTTGTGTGCAAAAAGTGTAGATCACCACAGTGCGCGTTTTTAGTCTCATTCCAGGTTCCATTTTATGTCTTCCCCCTTATTTTGCTTTTTTCTCACCCTGTTATTTGCCTTCACTTTTAATTCTTCTCACTCTGCTTAATTCCTTTCTAGAGTAAAGTAGAATATAAATAAGTAATAAAAAATATAAATAAAACTTCACTGAAACTCTTGCCATTACTTTAATCAGTGGTTTTCCACCATGGCTGATGCATATGTAAAAAATACTGATGCCTGGGTGCCACCTCATTCGTTCTGATGGAACTGATCTGAGGTGTGGCTTGGGCATCATGATTTTTATAAGTTTTGTAGGTGACTCCAGTGTGCAGCCAGGATGAGAACCACTGCCCTGAGTCATCACTAGGATAAAAAAATGTCATACACATTTAAATAGCATCCTCTTCAGGTGAGTTAACCAGCTTTGGTCCTAGTCTTTTCCATGTGTCTCTTTAATCAGCTACAACGTGTGTTCTTGGTTCACAGTTATTTGTGTGTGTGAGTGGTAGAAAGGAAGGCATGCTTTTAAAAAACTTGTCGCCTATGCAAAACTTATACTCTGAAAACCACAGAATACTGTTGAAAGAAATAAAGACCTAAATAAATGGAAATATATCTCATATTCATGGGGTGGGCAACTAAATATTACTAAGATGGCAATACTCCCCAAATTAATGTAAAGGTTCAACCCTGTCCCTGTCAAAGTCACAGCTGGCTTTTTGCCAAAATTGACAAGGGTGATTCTAAAATTCATATGAAAATGCAAGGTGTTCTCACTCACATGTGGAAGCTAAAAACAAGTTGATCACATGGAAGCAGAGAGTAGAACAGTGGCTGCTAGAGGCTGGGAAGGGTAGGCCATATGTTTATGTATTGTCCATGGCTGTTTTTACACTACACCAGCAGAACTGAATAGTTGCAACAGAGACTGTCCAGTCTGCAAAGCTTGCTACGTGGCCCTTTACCAAAAAAGTTTGCCAACCCCTGCTCTAGGTTAATGAGAAAAAAGAAAATTGGAATAATATTCCTTGCTACTTTTAACCTGATTTTCTTTTACCTATTTAGGTGTTTAGAATGCTGTCTATATTATAAACTTGGATCTCACAAGACTCCTTAGGCCTTGCCCTAGTTGTTCAGATTTCTTGCCCTGGATCTAATTTAGAGACAAAGTCATAGAATTCGCCTTCCATGGAAATGTATTAATATTTTCAAGGTGTCGATTAGTTCCAGTTTTGGTTTTGTCATTTTCCCCTTCCCAGATGGTTGTCTTGGATGATTTCTGATAAACCTTTGCTATTACAGTAAACCCTAGGTATTTTCAGATTTAAACCTCAGTGTTTTGACTGTTACTCAACCCCAAGGGTCCTTGGCATGTAGGGATTTGTACATCTGCTGGGGCAGAAATGGGATTCGTGTTCACCATGAACTGGTGTGCAGGGCCCTCAAAGGGCCCTGAAGTGACCATGTGATGCTCTGTTGGTTTTTTAATTTCTCTGAACTTTGAAAATTAGTTTAAGTCCACTATGAACCAGATGCTGCTCTAGGTGCTTAGGATATGCTTTGTCAGTAAACAAAACAAAAATATGCCACAGGAGATTACATTCTAGTAGTGGAGGCAGACAGTAAGCAGTAAAGATAATGTGCAAATTCTGTAGCACAAGACAAGGTGGAAAGGTTATGGGGAAAAGCACAGGTGGAATTGGGGTGGGGGCAGCCTGCAGGATTTGATTGGGTCATTAGGGCAAGCCTCTTTGAGAAGAGATTTGAGAAAAATCTTGAAGGGGTGAAGACGTTAGCTAAAGAGATTATCCGGGATAAGAGTTTTCCCCGACACTGGGACCACCTGGAGCAAAGGCAGGAAGGGGGCCACACACCTGGGAGGTTTGAAGAATAGCAGGGAGGTCAACTTGGCTGGAGTGGAATGAGAGAGGGGTTCCAGGAGAGGCAGTTAGTCAGGTAATGAAGTAACACGTTTTTGTGGGGAAAAGGTGCCCTAAGAAGCTAACTGCTGGAGGAGTTTAGAGGTCTAAGGAGTTCTTAGCTAAAAAATAGTTTGATAGATTGCTTTTGTTACATATTTATTTATCAAGATTATGAAGAGGTCACTTCTTTTAAGTTACAGGTGTCCACACTTGATAGGAAAATTGAATGTCCCACCTGACTGTGCCATCAAGGGAGGGGGTAGAGCCTTCTTAGTCCACCCAGTTGGGCCCCAGTTGGTCTGTGAATCAAAAAAGCCATTTAAGGGCTGGCCCGTGGCTCATTTGGAAGAGTGGGTGCTGATAACACCAAGGCCACAGGTTCGGATCCCTATATAGGGATGGCCGGTTAGCTCACTTGGGAGAGCATGGTGCTGACAACATTAAGTCAAGGGATAAGATCCCCTTACTGGTCATCTTTTAAAAGAAAAAAAAAGCCATATAATGCGAGACTAATAAAAAAGGGACATACAGGGCCGGCCCGGTGGCGCACTGGAGAGTGCGCCGCTTGGGAGCGTGGCGGCGCTCCCGCCGAGGGTTTGGATCCCATGTGGAGACCGGTTCCTGCTCACTGGCTGAGCGCGGTGCGGGCACAACACCGAGGGTTGCGTTCCCATTGCCGGTCCCCGGTACGGGCGCGACACCGAGGGTTGCGATCCCGTTACAGGTCAGTAAAAAAAGACAAAAAAAAAAGGGACATACATGCCTTAAAAATTTTATTTTAATTTAAAGCATGAATGTACATTCTTTGCTTTTTTTTGCTATAGAGCTAAAGGCCTTTTGTTTGATTAGGGATCTGCTTATTGAAGCCCACCTTTTTCAGAGCTTATCTATGATCGTCCTGGGGTTCCCCAGACTTCCCCGAAGATGAGAATTACCCCCAGCCCTTACTTTATACAAAACAGACAACCAAGAAGATTAGATCCTAAGGCCCTACCTAGACTTCCTGAATCAGAATTTCCAGGAGGAGATGTCTAACTGTCTGTACCTTTAACAAATGGCCCTGGTGATTCTTATCAGGAAATCTTGGCAAACACTAGATTACAACTTCGGATTTTTGATATTTGTATGTGTTTGTTTTTTTTAAGGGGAGTAAGAACTTACACAAAGAAACTTGTGAAGCAATCTTCCTTCCTAGTCTTTTACACCTACACCTAATTTAACAGAATTACATTGTGACTCACTGTGTCTTTCCAAAGCATTCAACTAGCTTACCTAGAAATAACTCTGTTTTACCAGCTATATTTTTGCAGTTTATTACATAATTTTTAATTAAGTTAGATGATTGCATTAGCCAATAACAGTGGCATAAACAGATTTGGAACTGACACAGCATCTTGGTTATCCTACAGCTGGGGGGGTCGGGCAAAGTACACAGGTGTGCTAAAAAAGGGGTCTTCAAACATTGTTCATGTACCCTTTTCACATTCTAAAGTTGACATTTACAGTTTTTATCAATAGTTGAAAAATATGTGATTCCAAGTATCTTACAAATACTGACATTTAAAAATAAAACTGTTGTAACATGGTTTTAAATGTATCCATTCAAATCTGAATGCCATAACTATCTGGGGCGCACCATCATCCATTTACAAAGTGAGTATACAAGCGCTTCTTTAACAGCTGGAACCTTCAGAATTTTTCTTTTTCTCTTTGAACTTGTATTTCCATCCTACCTCTACTAATGGAATGTTTATATATATTTTTTTATTTCTTTATTTCTTTGTGCTCATATATTTTTATGCTTAAATCTTTTATTGGCTACCCTTCTTCAACAAAATACCATAGGAATCATTTACTTTTTTTCAATATCCTTAACATTTTTAGTAATGTTCTACCAAAAAGTTCTTCTAGATTGAATCATCACTGCAGTAATTTGTAGTACAGTTGTTGAAACAGTAAATAAGTTACAATTGATAACTCCAAAAAAGTAAAATTGCATCGGAAATGCATCTCTTAATAGATGAATGGGACATAAACTTTTTGAATTAGTGCACGTATCCATGGCTACGTGTCACATATTGTTAGAAGGAGACAGAGTTCATGTTGTTCTAGCCCAATCCACCCATAATCACAAGTAAACCAGTAGTCTGTCAAAATCAGGTTTATTGACTCAGTGCAAAGAGGGAGGCGGCACCCCAGTGGAACTGTGGGGTGTGCCCCCAAGCGAAGGAAAAAGTAGAGTTATTATAGGATTTTGGGGCAGGTGGGAGTTTAAGTGGAATTCAAGTGAAGCAGTTTCTGATAGATTCAAAGCATCTAGCAGGGCTGTGTGTAAAGGGGCCAACATTGAGTCTGGCTGGCAAAGTGGAGCATTTCCTTAGAAACTACAGTTAAGATAGATGTGTAGAGTGTTATGTCCAGAACCCCTTACCTGAAGCTGTTGCGTTGCGCCTGGGTTGGAAATCCAGCTGCTTCTTGGAGTCAAAGCGACTTAGATCTTTGAGGCATGAGGGCATAGAAATATTCTATCGGCTCCTTTACGGCTATAATTTCAAACTGCAAAGTTTCTGATAGTTTCTGATTTTAGAGAACAAAATTCCTCAGTGAGTGAAAAAGCAGTAGTTACTCAAAAAAGGGAATTGTTATGGCACTTTGCAGCTTATCCTGGGGAAAAAAATATCATTTCCTATTAACTTTCAGCTGGCTTTGTCTGGGTCTTTTATTCTAGTCTGAGGAGTTGCTGGGCAGATATTTACTGGCCAAGCTAAATTTTACTTTTTCCATGTCAATTGTAATTCTTAGTTTTTGCTTTTTACAGAACGAGAAGCCTAGGCCCCATAAACTCCAGGCAGGAAAGGAATTTTGTTAGGGTGCCACTCAGATTTTGGACCGCCTGCCAAGTTACATGCCAAAATACATAGGGTAACTTTGTATCATATTTAGCAACCTGTTCATTGATAATTCTGTCAGACCCTCTTGCAACTTTATTGAAAGCAGGACTAGAACAGCCCTGCTTGCAGAAGGATGCTGTTTGTTTTTTCAGATCTATGCTAGTACTAAAACGTTCCTTTATGTGGCACCCCGTATATTCTCACACTCGTTTGGGGTGAGCAAGGAGACAGCTTGTTTTTTGTAAAGTGGAAGAAGAGTGAATGTGGAAAGGGGCACTTGAACTTCTGTGGAAGTTGAGGATGTGGGAATTCTCTAAAAGCCTGCCTGTGATTCTTGGATAACCACCATGCTGGCGAGGAGCTTTCTAGCAGCCAGTGTTCAGCATACTGCAGGTGGCAGAAGGATTGGAGATGCTAGTTGGTCAGGGATGTCCATTAAATGGCACTCTGTTGAGAGAACAGGGTCTTTGCGGGCTAAGGCATTCACGATTTGTATTGTGTCAAGAATAAATAATGTGAATGATGAATTACGTTCAGGAAGTGCCTTTGCCATTTTGAATTATGCTCAACTGATTTTCTTATTAATAATGCACTAGAAAATCCTGTTTTTGTTTCTTATTCATACTTATTTATTTGCCTATCCTAAGTGGTTTTCCTTGAAGGAAACAAAAATCATTGATTTCTCTTTTCTCCCTCCTTTTTCCTTTTTCTTTTTCTGCTTTCTAATTACAAGTCAGACTAGTCATGAAGTCCAATGGATGGTTTGAGAGGCTTGTCTGGGTGGTGCATGAGGTTTTTTTTCTTGTCCTCAGTATATGTGAATGCTGTTTTAATGTTTTATGTATATATAAACATACACACACACACATATATATTTTTAAACTTACAGTCACAAAATATACTTTACAATCATGTCTCCCCCATCCCTTAAAATAAAATTTCTATTTATAGCACATAAATTCTAGACAATTGCTTCTCTAAATTCCCTTAGACATAGAGGCCAACCCAAAGTGAAGTGTTATGTCTTGAGTTGTCAGAAACTAGATGAAAGAAGTGAGCACAAAAAATCAAAATACCATATTTGTGAAAATTCGGATTTTACTCTGGATATAGACAAGAAATGTGTGACTTGCTGAAGTAGTAGTACGTTCACTTCGCTAAGCTGTAGGTCATAATCCTGCTGTTTGGTCCTTCTGTTTCAGGTTTCACTTCCAGGGACCTTGTGGCACAACTCTTCCTGAGGCCCTTGCCCGTCATGAAACTGAAACTTCTTAAGTGTCTTGGAGAAGGAAGAAATTATGGTATATTTAAGAACTAGATGACAAACGGTTGCCCAGAGGAAAAATGGTCTTGTGGATGGTGAGCTGTATTGGAAGATCTAAAAATATTTTCTGATTACCTGGCTGGAATCAAACCTGTTGATAAGTGATGGGGCTTGGAAGTAGCCACAGCAAGTGTTACTGGAAGTCAGAGGACTGCACAGTTAATGCATGTTGTTTGGTTGAACTGAAACATACGATACTTTGGTATGGCTGGTTGGTAATTGGGAGGGCAAAATTTTTGTAACTGTATTATGTAAAAAAAAAAAGTACTTATCTTGATTATATTTTTGCTATTCGGGCAAAGATAAAAATTGAGGGGTAAAACCCTGCTATTTCATTCTGATTTTTGCACAAGTTTTGGTGGAAAATAAAATTCCTCTCTATAGTAGGTAATTATTGTATAAAGATGTTACACCAAGATATCTTTGTTGGGGTTTTTTTCTTTTCCATGTTTACCTTGTTTTGGTCGTGTTACCTTAAAGAATGTGGGATAACTTACAAGAACTCACGCAAGGAAGGACAAATCACAAGCAGGTAGAAAATCAGGATGACAAAAAAAAAACAAAATAAAACACAATATATGGACCCCAAGGATAAACACAACTGCCTAACATTTAGCTCTGGCCAAGCTCTGGCCTCTTAACAGCCAGGGTGGAAGACAGAGGTGATTGTTGGCTATTTCCCAAAATCATAAGGCAGAAGCATACAATCCCTGCTAGGTCTGCCAGCCTTTCCCAGACACTGAATTCTGCACGGAGTTTTTTCCCATGGGATTTTTAAAAATGTCATTCTTACTATGTTGATAAAATAGTGAGAGTACAGCTCCTTCCTCAAGCCCCATCACCTAATGAGGCATCCAGCGCCCTTGGAATGCCTGCTATCTGGCAAGCATCAGAGGCCAGACTGGGGGGAGTGGCTATTAGTCAGCAGCGTATGAAGGTCACACATGACATGGCCCTTTGGATCAGGTGAGCTCCCTGAGTGATTATGCACCTGGGCCACATCACCTCAGTCCTTTGCAAAACTGCATTTAATGTTACACCCTTGGCTTTTGCAGAAATAGGCAACAAGACACAGTCGTATAAAACTTTGTACTGCATTTTCAAGTCATAACTTAATAAATCCCCAAGGTCCTTTGCATAAGGAAAAGGGATGTTCATAATGTATGGCGTTATGAGACTAAGCGAGTCTATGGGGAGTCTGGGGAGCCAGCGAGGCACCCTGAGAGCTCAATTCACACTTTACATGGGTGGGTCAAGGGATGTACACTGAGGAGACTGGTAATACCCATTATAAAGTTTTGTAATGCTTATAATACAATTTTTGTACATAAAATACCATCACGCACTTCTAATAGATTTGTCGCTGGGCTGCTCCAAATTAATTTTATACATGTTCCCAGTGATAAAAATGATGAAAATCAGCACACTGTCTCAGGGAGTCTGATTATAGTTTTGATTTGTAATTTCTGTCTGATCAAGGCCCAGAGGCTTCAGGACTGTTCTTTGCAACAAGTCTCATGCTGGACCTTTGGTACCAACAGCTTATCTTGTTTTTGTGTTTTGTCATGTTTGTTCAATATTTGGTTTTATTGTTTTTAAATTGGGAATTGCTTCTAAATCAGAAGAGATAAAAGGGGAATTGAAAATACCAAACATGTGAGACAGAATTATTCAATTTAGCATGGATTAAACATCTGTATGATAGATTAGAAATAAAATGATTGGAACAACCTTCACATAAACTGCCATACAGTACAGAAGGTGCACTAATAGAAATTTGTGCAAGGTTCAGAGAAGAGTGCAAATAGAGATGGGTAGAGTGGGGATGGGGTGGATGTTAAGGTGCTTGAAGTTAGCCTGGGTGGGAGTTTTGAAATATAAATACGGGTTCTGCATGGGGGAGTGCATATCAGTAGAAGGAACAGCACATACAAGTGCATGGTAGAAGGAAACAGCTCAATTCGTTCAGGGAATGATGAATCATTTAGTACCGTATACTGGGTAGGAGGAGATAACCACGGAGATCACAAGGGGTCCAGTGCTCCAAGAGACAAAATATGCTTGGGAGGAAAAAATTAAAACTAGGGTGCATTCAATAAGTAACGGTGAATCATTCATTCTTTCAACAGTTACTTATTCAGCATCTGCGACGCGGCCGCTGTTCTTGGTCCTGGGGTCGCAGGCGGGAACCAGACTCACGGAGCTCATGTTCTGATGGGGGAATCAGACAATGAACCAGCTATTGCGGAGTGGCGTCAGTGGGTCACTGTAGAGTGGCTGAGGGGCAGGTGGCCGGGCACACGTCCGGTGCTGAGGGTTCATTTACGCCGGGGTCTGTGGGCCCTGTCTCTCTTCGGTGACAGCAGGACTGAAAGGCACCGGCGTCATTCCGCTACAGCGTTTCTCCCCCTGAAACTCCACCTCCTCGGGGTGTGCGGAGTGAAGGGAGCCGCACCTACAACCGCCGACGAACTGGATCGACCAAGCGGACCCCGGCGCTCAAAAGGCGGCGACGCGGCGACTGGGGCCTGCGGTTGCCGGGCTTCTGGGCACAGCACGGGATGACTCGCGCCAGCCCTGTCTCGGCACCGCAGACGAGGGGGGCAGCACGATTCATCATCTTAACCTTGAAACAAACCCCATCCCGCCGCCCTCGCAGACGGGGAGCATCTGTGGGGTCTTTCAAACTCCGCCGCGCCTCCGCCCACAGCCCTGGCGAACGCGATGCAGTAAGCCACGCCCCGCTGCCCGTAGGCCACGCCCCTTTCGCCCTGCGCATGCGCCTCCACCCGTACTGGGGCTTCCGAACCGTCAGGGGGCGATGAAAGCTTACGTCGGCTGCTCTTTCACGTCGCAATCCGCTCGCGACTGGCTCCGGGTCAGAGGTCAGGTGGTTCAAAGCGGCGTAGGCCATGGTGCAGCTCCGGCCGCGCGCGTCCCGCACCCCGGCATCGGCCGAGGCGATGGTGGACGAGGGCCAGCCGGCCTCGGAGGAAGAGGCGGAGCACGGCCTGTTGCTCGGGCAGCCCAGCAGCGGCGCGGCCGCTTAGCCGCTGGAGGAAGACGAGGAAGGGGACGATGAGTTTGACGACGAGGCCCCGGAGGAGCTGACTTTCGCCAGAGCCCAGGCGGAGGCGAGAGAAGAGGAGCGGCGAGTGCGAGAGACCGCGCGCAGGTTCGGACCTCGCGGCCAGCGGGGAGAACTGCCTCTTCCCGTCCCGCTTGTCCTTCCCCGCGCTGACTTGTCACCCTTTCTCCCAGGGATAAAACGCTCCTGAAGGAGAAGAGGAAGCGGCGCGAGGAGCTGTTCATCGAACAAAAGGTTAGAGGATAGCGTGGCGTCTCGTTTTTGATACAACCCGGCTTGGAGTAGGTTTCCCACGTTCGGTGCTGTTTGGACTGGTAACATATTGGAGTGGGGGGAAAGTCACTGTTCCGGCAACGGTGGAAGGAAAGATGTTCCACCCCTTACTGTCCACCGATTGAAAGTGAAAGGGGGAAAGAGTTGTGAACCTGAAATCGTAGAAGTTAGAGTCCCACCTCTGACATTCACCTGGCCATGACACCTGTCATTTAGCCTCGCGGAGGCAGTTTATGTGAAAACAGGTTGCCCTGAGAACTAAACGAGGTGAATTGTAAACTAACTGCTGTCCAGACATAAGGTATGATTGCTTTTTTGTCTGATGTCTGGCATACTTGCCACAGAAAACTGATTACGAGTGAATATGACTTAACTGCTTTCAGTCTGCAACAGTGACCTAGTTATCCCGAGAATGTGGAATAGGTTCTGAGTTTTGTGGACCCAGTCTTCCCATAGCTTAGAGAAAGTGGGGGCAGTATTCAGCCCAATTCATTTGCCTACGTATAAGGCTGTCCTTAAAATCAGTAACTTAAGAAGAAATTCCGGACATGTCTTTTGTACGTGACTTTTAATTTGTTTTTAAATGTTTTTATTCAAAAAGAAAAGAAAACTCCTTCCAGATACTATTCTAGAGAAGTTAACTACAGCCTCACAAACTAAGTAAGTAAAGGATCTTCTTACATTACTTGTTTATACACACCCGTCTTTAAATTACATACTGGTACAAACATTTATTTGAATCCAGATAACTGAAGTAATTACATAACCTAAATCAGAAAGCTTACACAGTGGGATTTGAATTTGGTGGGAAAGATGGGAGGGAAATATTCCACTTCTTTTTAGTCTTTTGCCATTTCTTTTTGTTTATTTCCATATTATCTTCTGAATTCCTGATCTCAGTATGTTCATTAAATAAATTTTGAGTGCCTGTTATTGTACTATGGGCAAGGTAGATGGTGGGAAATAAATTTATCATTTAGTGGGGTAGTAGACACTTATCCACAGGCTCCTAAAACTGGACTGTCTCATATTTGCCTTATGTGCCACCAACCTGTCCTCCCTCCTTGTGCCCCATATTTCATTTAGCAGCTTTGGTTTTTTTTATGGTTTAAAGCCAAAAGTTATAGTTATCCCATGCACTCAGTCAAACCCTACTAAATTTAGCTTTCTTGATACTTGTATTTTTTTCTATCTCCTTGATTCTCCTGAATGCTTTGAGTTCAGAAGCTTAGCCCATCTTTTACCTATTTTTTTCTATCTCCTTGATTCTCCTGAATGCTTTGAGTTCAGAAGCTTAGCCCATCTTTTACCTATTTTTTTCTATCTCCTTGATTCTCCTGAATGCTTTGAGTTCAGAAGCTTAGCCCATCTTTTACCTATTTTTTTCTATCTCCTTGATTCTCCTGAATGCTTTGAGTTCAGAAGCTTAGCCCATCTTTTACCTATTTTTTTCTATCTCCTTGATTCTCCTGAATGCTTTGAGTTCAGAAGCTTAGCCCATCTTTTACCTAGGCCAACAGTTCTCAAATTTTCAGTAAAGGAACTTTTCCAAAGAGTTAATCATATCCTGAATACATTAAACATACAAACAAAAATCTATTTGGTGGCAAATTCTCTTACATTCTTCAAAACCAAGCTCAAGTATCACCTTCTTCCTTCTCATCCCATCCCCCACCTCGCATCACTTCCTCTTTCATATAGTCTTTCTACTGTGCAAGTGCTTCTATATCACATTCTGAATCCTCACGTTTTCTCAGTCTACATTTGTCTCTCCATTAAGACCACATACTTCTTGAGGCTGGTCCTTGTCTCCATCCCTGTCTCCTGTGCCTGAAATGCTGAATTTAAGTCTTGGTGATTTCTCCAAATAAAGCAAGGCCTTTACTTCGTATTTTCAATTCATATTTTGAATACTGTCTTATATAACTTGTTCTTAAGTCTTTCACTCTGTTAACAATAGCAGTCTGCTGCTTTGGAAGCCTGCTGATGTGCTTTTAGGTTTAAATTGAGAAGATGCTCCCATCCTAGTAATACTAGATCATAGATTGGAATGACTTTTGCTTTCCAAAACTGGTGAAATATCCTGAGTAAAAATTGTGCACGGTGGTAATAAAAGGAGGTAATCTTATTTGTAAAACCAGGTGAAATAGTGTTAACACATTTCAAGTGATCTTTACTATCTACCATTCCAGTCAGTGGTTTTTTGTTTTTTCCTTAGCATAAAGGAATTGCCAAGAAAGTTGAAAGAAGGTATGGATTTTTCTAAGTCACTTCTCACGTAAGTGTCAAATGCATTTGCAGATATTTCCAAATATTGGCCCTTAGAAAGAGAGCGTGTTCTCTTTACTTCTTACAAATAAAAATTGCATCCAAATTGTTGTGTAGTGGCTATTTAAATTGACCTCCAGGAAACATTCCTGATTTATTTACATAAATGCTAATTAGAAAATGTAACTCCATTTTTTTTAGTTAATTTTCAAAAGAAAAATGAAGAGTCTGAAAAAGGAAGCCATTCCAAGAAAGTTAAAGAAAAAGTGCAAAAAGTACAGTCTGTCAGGTAACTAGTCTTTTTTTTCACGTGGAATGTAAAGGTGACCTTTTTGAGGGAGTTAAAGTATTGGCTTATATGGGGAAATATTTTAATTAGTAGTAACTTCAGATTGGATCCTCTGGAAAAATCAGTTTTGATGTTTATAAAAAATAAAACATTTGCTCTACTAAAATGTGAATGTTAGTCTATTTCTTGTAAAATAGCCTTGTAACTTAGTTTTATTCATTATCTTATTTATGCATATACAAAATTAGAATTTCAATTATCACTATTTATGAAAGTGACAAAAATAGTTTATTTTGCCCTTTTGTATTGATCACCAGCCAGAACAAAAGCTACTTGGCTCTAAGGCTGAAAGACCAAGATCTGAGAGATTCAAGGCAACAAGCAGCCAAAGCCTTCATACATAATTCTTTATATGGTCCAGGAACCAACAGAACTACTGGTAATTTTCTTATGGACTACTTTTCTCACTTATTCTGCAAATAAAACAAAGAAATAGTAAATAACCCTCTTTTCTAGTAAATAAGTTCCTGTCTCTTGCCAACAAGAGGTTACCAGTGAAAAAGGCCGCAGCCCAGTTTTTGAATAATTCTTGGGGTAAGATTCAGTTTTATTTTATTGGCTCTATCTAGTTGAAAATGTTCTTTTGAAGAAGATAGTACATAATTATATTTTCTGTTTATATAATTATAATTTTTCCCTGATAGTGGCTTCTATATTAATATTTTTAAGTTGTTTCTGAAAAATAGTTCAATGTAGTATATAAACACATCTAATGTACAATCTAATAGACAGTTTTAGTATTTTCATTCATATAAACTAGAAAATCTTGAAAAAACCTTTTGAATTACATGTTTCTTGGGAATTTTATATCGCTAATATTCTTACTGCACAGACCTTTCTATTCTAGGAACCCAAAATAAACAAAATGCCAAGAGGTTTAAAAGACGGTGGATGGTCAGAAAGATGAAAACTTCTAAAATGTAAATTGAAGCTAAATGAAGAATCTGTACTTTGTATGTATAGAATTTAAAGTTACTTTATTTACAGGATCATTTTCTCTGAAAAAGCTAATAAATCATTTTCAAGGGTCATTATAAAAATCATAAATCTATTTGTCTGAGGAAATACTCGCTCACATTTCATTGCTCTGGAGTACAAATCGTGCCTTGTAGTCTTTGAGGGTCCTGGAAGAAAAAGCAGTTTAAAAGGAATGTTTTCCTTTCTTTTTATTCACTTAGTTGAATACAAGCTGAATACAAGCAATACTTACACTGGTCACAGCACCTCTTCTACCCCCCTGTCCCCACCCCATGGGTGTGTGGCAGGAATGACAGGGAGAATAAGAAGAAATGGACATCTAGGAAAAGTTTTTTTTACCTACCTGCTGCTCTCAGATGTTTTAGTCTCTCAGATATTTTGGTGCTATTGGTGAGATTTTGTTATATTCTTCATGGAGTACAAGAGAAGTCATGGAAAGAGTGCAAGTGTAGATAAATATGTTCTCTTTAGAGAAGACTGAGTGAAGCCTCGGTGCACAAAATATAGTCAACTAGAACCTTTGCCAACCCAAAGAATCAGGTTAATCTGTTGAACAGCTTTTTAAGCCCTACTTTTAACCAGTTTTGGGGGTTTGCTTGACTGGCAAGTTTCATATGCCATATTATGATTATGAAAATAAGGAAGTTAAATTTCCTGTTGTCTTTCTGTGTTACCCACAATATCAAGTGAGACCCTAATCCAGGGAGGCCAGTAAACTGAAAGCTATTAATCATAAGAAGTATACAGGTACCTAACATATAAATTCAATTGACACTCTAGTATCTGTAGAAGTAAATTTTTAATGGCTGGTTAATTATATCACTACATTTTTATTGCAATATAGTACTCATTTAAGCACTTAAAAATGGAAGGTGTACAAAGATTAAATTAAGACACGGTAAACTGACTAAATATTTGGTTTTTATATAAATAAAAGTCATAACCACACTGTTGACATGTAATACTGTTATAATACAACAGTTAAACTTGTGAGTCTACAACAGAAATCATCTGTAATTAAACAGGAAACAAAGTTGAAAACGACCATGTTAAAACAAAACTACTGGGACTAACAGGTCGGGATTGTAAGTAGCAACAAACATATTCACTCAGCTCCTGAGTATTTCAAGTTTTACAGTACACATTAAAAATGATTTCTTCCATCGACACTATTAAATTCAAACTGTCAGATGTTTATGCATTTTGTAAGTTACACTGATTGGATGCTTATATGGGAGCGGGGGTCGGAATATCTCCCAATTTGAATTTTACATCACCCACATGCTAACACAAACACAACTTGTTCCATTTCCTTCCCCTCTCCACCCCCTACAAAGAAGGCAGGATTTTTTGGTTTCTTTTAGGTAATTGTTTTAAAGGATTTGTGATGACCAATTTGAATGCCTGAAATCCAGTAATATTTAACTCTTAGACAACTAAGAGGTTAAAGATGGAAAATAATTTCTCCTAACACTAAGTTAGAAAATCATTTGCATCATGCTGTAAACTAGGAAGCAATGTAAAGCGACAAAAACCTGTCCCCAGTACATAATTAAAAAATCTAAATTTCAAATCAGCAGAGCTGGTCTACTTCCATGTTGACTATATGCCACAATATAAGTGTGAGCTCTTGAAATGCATAGCTAATGTAGGTAGTCTTCCACTGTGGCAAATGCACAGGATCCAATTCCTGATCGAGCCATCAGTCCTAGACATTGTGTGGCCTGTCCCATTGCTAGGGCAAGTGGAGGTTGCTTTGGCAGATTGTGGGTTTCTGAGGAAAAATGATTAAAAGATGGAAACAGCAATTAGCAAGATAGATTTAAAAACATCTCAATCAGGAAAACATTGTTTCTTAGAAAATTACCAATGCCTATACTGCTTTTAATTACCTAACTAGCAAAAGTAGTTTCTTTTCTTTTTCTTTTTTTTTTTAAAAAAGATGACCAGCAAGGGGATCTTAACCCTTGACTTGGTGTTGTCAGCCATCCCTATATAGGGATCTGAACCCGTGGCCTTGGTGTTATCAGCACCGCACTCTCCCAAGTGAGCCACGGGCCGGCCCACAAAAGTGGTTTCTAAGCATGACTGTTGTCTTGGACATACTACTCTGACAAGGTAGTATAGGCATTGGGATATTCAACAGCAATAAAAATTCTTGCAGAATCAGACTTTTAAAATATCAGATATTTCAAAAACTTTTACTTCCATATTAACTATGATGAGAAGAGATGTAACTTCTTATCTGATAGTAGGAGTGGGAAGTAGGAATACTTAGTATTTCTCTTCTACCTGACCTGACTTGACAGAAAAAGGTACAGATTTTCATTACTAGTTTCCATTGATGGATTCTCCCACCTCTGTGGATAGAACCCACATGAAGTTGCCTGGCGGTCTGCAAGGTACACTGGTGAATGTTCTTTGAGTTGGTTGGGAGCAAGTAGTGGTGGTGCCAGTGAGAGAACATAGAGCAAAGCCACGTAATAATTTTGGAGGGGTTAATTTACAATTGATAGTTCAGACATTTATGAAATTGCCAATAAGTTTTCAGGGTCTCAATACCACAGTTCCTTCGTCAGACAGTTGCAGTACAAATGCAGTAAATACCAAAATTTGTTCCTTGCCAGAGATAGAAAAATGAACTAATGGCAAAAGTGGCCAACTCAGAAGCTGGTCATTTCTCTTTGTCTGGAGACAATGTCCAAATATTAAGTTTATGTAGATTCCCAATTAATCAAATTACAAATCAGTCCTTCATAGGGAAAGGTGACAACAAAGGGCAAAAACAGTGACCCGTGGCTGGTAAGGCTCCATACGGTTTAACTCCACTCTGGGTTTAGAGGTTGCAGTGTGGTGGATGAAAAGAGAAAATTTCCAGAAGTAATGAAGCAAAAAATCGAAAAGAAGCAAGTTCAGGACTTAGAGGTATAAGAGAAAACAAAACAGGACTAAGAACACAAGGACAGAGGTATGCGAGGGAAGGCACACAGACCAATGAGAAGTGTGGTGAAAACTGGTGCACAGGCTGAGATTACCAAAGTGTGACTTACAAACAGAGAAGGAAATATCTTTTCATTAATGTTTCTTGAAGGCTCACAGGGAAGCAACCTTGCTAAAGGCAATCATCTAGAGGTACATTATTACAATCTTATTTTGGCCATAGGAAGAATCTAGTTATAAGCATTTAAAAATATTTTTGGCATATGAAACTTATAAAAAGTATTTACAATTAATATAACGTTAGGCACTACATGTAAGTGAACTTATATAATGTAGCACAGTATTTATAAACATGCACGCATCCATCCACAGCAATTTAATAATAATAATTTTACAGGAATTATATATACATTTAATATGTTTAAGCACTATTTATAGCTGAACCTACATAATACAGCACCATATGTAAGAGTATATATATACGTTAGATAACGGTCCTAAACATTTATTTCTTAGGTTCTTCAAGGGAATTAAATTGTTAAACGTTAAATGGTCATAAGAAAACTAGTCATATTAGAGAAATTCTTTCCAAGTCTTAGTGTCACCCAGCAATTAGGTCTTCATGATTACCTAGTGTAGTTATTTCAAAAAGACAATTACAGTAAGCCATATAGTAGAATTTCCCTATTGTTTGCTAAGTTCTCTTTTATTTTTACCAACAGAGCTAAATGAATTTTGTGTAACCAAAGAAAATACAAGACATTAAAGAAAATTCACATTTATCAAATTTTATTAAATTCTAAATGTGAGAAAACCATAGCACAAAGTACATTACTCCTATTTCCAAAATGAGTCCTTAAGAAATAATTATTGAATTTTATAAGGGCAAAGATACAGATTAAAGTTCAAATATGAATATCTTTCATTACTTCTTTATATTGCTGTCATACAAGTCCTGGCCCTTATTCCAAGTGTCCATGTCTAAATTACCCTTTAATCTACTTTTTGTAGCACTGCCCTCATTTTCCTAAAATAGTTTGAAACATGACTAAAAGCCTCCAAATCTAACAGGGCCAAATAGCACTGCACAGACTTCTAAACTGGACTGGAGTCTCACTTTACCAGGGGAATTAGAATACAAAGTCAAGAAAAATCACTCATCTAAATTACCTTTGAAGACAACTGCCCAGGAATTAAAACATGGTTTTATGTAAACAGTCAACCCTAGAGTGTACACAGAAATGCACAAGATGTGCAGTTACAGAATTCAAATGAAAAGTTTTGTTCAGTACATAAACACTAATCACTCTCCAGTGAGTTGCTCACAGAACAGAAACCAGCCTGGGGAGCAAATCTGAGCTTATCACTTCGTGCTCACTCTTGGCTAAGCCTCGCCATTTCAACTGCTTTGCTCTTCCTCACCCCCCTTTTTATTGGGTGAAGGCATGTAGTTAAATTTGGTCAACTTAACTGCAAGTAGAATTTGACTCCAAGGGTTGGCCCTGACAAGGTAATCACTCACAAAAGGTAGTCACACATACACCTTGTGCCTGTACCGTAAGCATGGCGACAGCTCAGGCTGCCCTACCCACGGGAAACACTGCAAGCAAACAGGTGGGGGATGTGGCAGCAGGGGCACCAGCTAGGAACCCTGACCTATTGGGTCACATTCAAACTTTTCAGATACTTAAGTTCTTTCACTCCCTCATTTCCATTCTCATTATGCCTGCTCCATCAAAACCTCCATTTCCTGACCTCTTCATTTTCTTCAAGTTTACCCTGCTCCCTTCTAGCCTCACTCTCTTGTGGACCAATGATTAGAACTACAGATTCATTACCTTTCCCACATTCCTACAGCAGCCAAATTAGAAATCCAGTTCTGATGAGTACATTAAACAAAAAGTGTCCAACTACACAGAATGGTTCTGTACCATCATAAATTTATACTTCTGTTTCTCAGCTGGGCTCTCAATGTCACTAGTTAACCCTCTGACTCATCCTCTGTTCAATTACATTTTAGTGCCTTCACCGGTTCTAATCCAAATTCTCACCACTTTCTGCAACTTTTACGACTCTTGGCCCCTGTTGATTACTCACTTAGAAGAACAAGAAGCCATTCAGGCTTAATT